TCAAATACTATGTTGTCAAAATTGTTAATTGAGAGTTTATTAATTTAATTTTCCCAAAAGCATGCAATTGAGATATAGATGAATTGTATGAATTGTGAAGTTGACATGGTATGGTGATTAAAGCATGAAGCATTCATGCATTGCATTGGGCAAGAAAGGGAAAAAATTGTTTTGAAATGAAATGAAATAATTTTGGGAAAATTGTTTTGGAAAGTGTTTGTGAAAACTGGACGCCTAGAAAGCACCTGGTGGTCCGTGGTGTTAGTGTAGTCTAAAAAGGACTAGGGATTGAGTTAACTAGGCCGGATGCAACGCCTTGGAGGTGCCTTGTGGTTGTTAATAGTTAGCCAATCCCCCTTTCGTGACGCCTTGGAGGTGCCTTGGGTCAGATTACACTAACGGTTTGAAAGTTGAAACGGTATTGTTTCAGAAATGGGGAGTGACATTGCATGGCATGGCACATCATTAGCATACTTAGTGCATTTGGTAGTTGGTTGATATATGTATGTTTGTTGATGATACAGTGGTTTTACTCAACTTCCGAGATATGATCCCGTTCTCATGCTTTCTATTCTCTATGTGGATTCACGTGGTCATAAGAGGTGTGTCTTAGGCACCTCCTACTGAGCGTTTAGCTCACCCCATTATTTAACATTTTTCAGGACACGGAAGGGAAGTGGCGGACGACGCTCCTCCACAGGGTTCGATGGGTTAGTAGACCGTTTTGACATACTTTGTAGCTATGATCTCATTTTATTATTATTATTATTTCTTTATTATTTTTTTTTTTTTTTTTTATAAACCCTGGGATGACACGTATATTATGTATTGACATAGGAAAGGACGGTAGTGTCCTTAGTTGATCTCGGGTTTGGGTAAGAACCCGGTTAGCGATCCGTGCGCAACAATTTTGGTAGCAGGTCCCACTCGGAACTTTTCGGCCCGAAAAATGAAAAAATGCTGAAATGGCAACCAGTGCATTTTCAAGAGTCTTTAACTCAAGGAAATGTCCCAACCAACTCTCAGACACACCCGGCATGCCCCACGGTGTCTGGCACGCAAAACGAGAAAAAACAATAATGCCCTTACACAAAAAAATAGAAAATTTTAGAAAAAAAAATAGCTAAAATTGGAAACATTACAGGTGATGGTGGTGGCGGCGGCACCTCCATTCTCTCTTTCCGTTGATTTCTGTTACTCGATTGTGGGTTTGGGGATAGTGGGGTTGACAGCGCCTCCACCGTCGACGGAGACGATGGTGAGTTCAATTAGGAATTTTTGTGGCTTTTTCATGGGTTCAATTGGCTGGATTTTTTGTGTGTTTTTCATGGGTTCAATGAATAGGTTTTGGTTGTGGTGGCAAAGGTTGCAGTAGTGGGTGAAAGAAAGGGGTGGGCAGTTTTGGCGGGTGGTGGTGACTGGTGGGTGCGGTGGTAGCTATGGTAGGGCTGTGAAATGGTAGCCGTGGGTGTGCATAGGTCGTGGTGACTGTGGTGGCTGTTGGCCGCATAACTAGTCCGATGATCTCTGCACATTCCGGCAGCTCCTTCACCTTCATTATCATACAATTTGTTTATGAATATTAATATATAATTGAAGGCTAAATTGTAAAATGACACAGCTTAATGGGCATTTTCGGAAGAGTAAAAGGGCAAAATGGGTATTACAGTAATAATTTATGTCAGATTTTTTACAGAGGGGTAATTTTGTATAATTTCAAAAAATTAGGGGTGTTTATTGTACACTTTTTCAAATAGGGGGTAAAAGTGTTACTCAGAGTATAGTTGAGGAGTGTTTTCTACACTTACCCCTATTTTATGCAAGTATCCATCATTCACTGTCGGCGTTTTGTGTCATGATAGTAATTTCGTCGAATGATTGGTCTGCACTATATGGTAGACATCTCGAGGTTGCTCTCCATGACATTGGAACCCCATTAACCCCTTAAAACTAATGTATTGTTTATTTTTTTGGGTAAAAATAAACCAATAGAAATGTCAAAGCAGACTGTACTAGTAAATTTGTAAGAAATCAAGTGGAAAACATTTCTAAATCAATTCATGATGTATTATAATCAAGAAACGAAAGATGAGTATTATAAAATGGATAGTATCAGACTCTTCTGGCGCCCTGGCGCTCGAATCCCTGGATTTCTCTTCTCTTTGAGTTCCGCTCTCAAGCTCTGTGCAGGGCTCTTGCTCTCACTTGTGTGACTTAAATTTTGTTACTCGCACGCTCCAATGGGGATTTCAAGTTCTTTAAGTAAATAAGATATATATATATATATATATAATCAATACATAAAATGAATTGCCATGAAAAAGTGTGGATCAGGGGCGGAGCCAGGATTTCAATTCAGAGGGGGCAGAGTTTAAAAATAAATAAATAAATTAGACTAACAATGATATAACATGTAAAAAGAAGAATTTTAAGAAGAAAAAGGAAAGAAAATTGAGATATATTTGAAAGGAAAAAAATTAGAGTATTATTCAAAAAAGAAATTTTGACTTTTTTTTTAAGAAATTTAAGACTTAAAAAAATTACAAATTAACTATATATATTCTATTGGACAGAGCCAGGCCAGGGGAACATGCCCCTAGGCCTTAATTGGCTCCGCCCCTAGTGCGGATAAAGAATTACAATGAAAAGTATGTATGACTCTCATCCGTGAAGGTGCACCAGTGATTCTCATCTACGTGTCATTGTGGATAGCATTCAGCTGTGGGTTTAAAACAATAACAAAGATGGGATCCAATGTGTGGGATATATATATATATATATATAAGAACAAACTTGTAAAGAAACTTTGATGCATTCCAGGACAGTAGCGACACATTAAGGCAGTGAATTATGAGGTAAAAGGGCATTTTGAATCCAAAATGTCACTTATGCCAAAACTCATAACCTGGTGTCGTTTACTATAACATAGACCTAGAAAGTGTTGAACAAGCTAGTCGCGAGGCTATCTCCAAGGATGAGCCGATAAAATTGGTTAAAAAACACAATCTAGGTCTGGAAGTTATGTGTACTTGCACGCAATAATATAGCTTAGGCGATTATGTGTCGCACCAAGACGTGAGGCATCATAATCCCAAACGGGAAAATGGGTTGATTGTGGAATGGAGGATTGAGAGAGAGGTTTGTTAAATTACACAGTATAGGAACGCAACTAATGGTCACGCGGATCCAGCATACATGTGCCAAAGACGCCCCTCGCAGATACAAGTGGTCTGCGACCCTCCAAAGGCATATATGTGATTTAACCAGAATTATTGTAAGTGGTGGATGACAGCTGTCACGTACCCGAGTCGTGAGCCCTCTAAATACCCCCAAGTGTCACGCGTGGGACGGCACATCAAGAAGGCCCCACTTCCACTCTGCTTCATTTTTGCTACACTCTCTCTCTCTCTCTTCTCTTTGTGTTCAATTATTTCATTCAGTTCGAAGAGTCAAAGCATAGGTGATTTCTCAAGGTTTTGAACCTACATTCACATGAATTTCTCCAAACTCAATCATCATAATAATCATGAATTAAAACTACAGTGAAAATGATATAATCTATAATATATTCACTCTGAGACCTTATGCAAGTGATTAAGTAAGTTTCACCAACTCTTAGTCGTCGTTTCCGAACAAATTAAGTGTTTGTCCAATTAAGTACGTTTGATAATGAAAATTGAATATCTTTGAAAATAGTATACGCTATTGAAAATGACGTAAAATTTTAAGTGATCACACTGAATCTTTTATATATATATATATATATATATATATATATATATATATTTCTTTTAAAATTACCACTTAAAAATTTTATAATTTTCAATTTTATCAAGTTTTAAAAAATATATATATTCTTTATAAATTACCACTTAAAAATTTTATAATTTTCAATTTTATCAAGTTTTAAAAAATATATATATTCTTTATAAATTATCACTTAAAAATTTTATAATTTTCAATTTTATCAAGCACCACCTTAGTATAGCAATAATCCTCTTCCGAATGAGAAATTCAACCAAGGGCCTGTTTGAATGTCCCCTCAATTCGCATAACCTTATTTTTGCTTTTTAGATAGAATTACAATATTAAAAATCACCATCTTTAATGGGTATTTGGATCCTCAAGCTATAAGGGATCGTTCTTGTAGTGTGCTTAAAAAATTTTAACACACTTGACCTTTTGAATTCAATAAATAATCAAAGATACTTCACCTTTTGAATTCAATAAATAATCAAAGATGTGTTACCTAGTGGTATCTCATCTACCTTCCAAAATGAAAAGTGATGTCTGAGTCCCATAAATACAAATGAGTGTGAATTTCTTGCTAATAAAACAATAATAAAAACCAATCTAAAACAAATGTATTGAAAACAAAATGTAAATGTGCTAAAATTTCTTTTTAACATCATTATTTCCAATTTCAACATACTTAACCGTGTTTCAGAACATTTGCCCTATGTGATGAATTAAAATGCATTGAAAAACACTACAGCATTTGTTATGTACTCAACCGTAGTCATCTCAAATATAATGTGAATCTTATTGTCATTTCAAGAAGCTTTAGAATGATAACATGAGAAGAAATATGATGAACTTTAAGACAAAAATGATACTTAAAAACATGAATGAATCCAGGATTATGGGGTGTCCAAACAGGCACTACCCCAACCATAATAGGGATACATCAAGGGAGTAATTCCAGCCTTGTCTGCTTTTCCCAAGTCAGAGGCAACAACAGCAACTACTACTCTTGGTATAAACACTTATACCATACAGAACCAATGATCTTGTACATAAAAATGTTATATAAATTACGAATGACGCCATTCAAATTCAAAGGATGAACGGATCAGTCATGCCCAAGTAATCAACCCAGAATCACCGGAATCTCATCTGCAGTTTGTCTCCGGTTAGTATTACAACCGGACCATACTCAAGCTTACATCAACTCAGCAATCTCTTCATTTCTTGGAGTCACGAGGCAACCACAACTAATATTCTTAGCATAAATTCTTCAATACCACAACAAAGAAAGTAAAAGAATTTCAATTCAAGGTTGCTTTTAATGGCTTAAGATTTCTTTCTTACCCACTAATTCTGTTCGATCCAACAAACAAAATATTTTGACAAAACAAGCATGAGCAACAGAGCATAAAAGATGATTTCAGCTTTGGAACAACATTTCTTGATAAATACTCAAAACAAGTGCAAGCAGCACACTACTTCTTTGGTTCCAACTCACTGGACTTGATCGAAGGCTCATCCTTCTTGGAGCTTGAGGCAGTGGCCTCCAATGCACTTGCCATTACCACATCCAATGTCTTGTAGAACTCCTCGGAGAGAGGACCAGGTCGGTGCAATGGAACATGCTTGGGAACTGGAGCATCATTCTCAATAACTTTGCACTCATAGTCATCAGGAACACCCCACTCTGCAATCCAACAAAACAAGAAATGCCCACCATAAACACTTCATGGTAACAAAGAAAGTTCACTAAAGATGTTCTGTTTATAGTCAGTTGTAGATAGTACTAGAATGCAGTCCATAGAATGCAGATTTGCTCTCTTAAGCTTGACCTAAATGAAAATGAGAGGAAAAACATCTTCAGATTAGGCAATTGGGTATTTTCTTTTTTCTTAGTTGGTACTCACACACACATGCCTCCATAGAGGCTTGAACCCTAACCTTCCTTTGAAAAGTAGGGGCCTGATACCACTAGACCGCTGCCCGTTGGTAATTGGGTATTTTCTTATTGGGGAGGATTCTTCAAGATAGCTAGAGGGAGAGGGGGAACTCCAAAGAAAGGGTGTTGTTTTGAAAGAGGGGGGAAGGAAGGGAGAAAGCAAAGAAAAATGACTATAAATAACTTGCCCCTGAAGAGAGTACTTGGAATAAGGGGGGAGAGAGAGAATAGAGAGAGGGGGGAGGGGGGGGAATCCAAAGTTGATGTAGAACTTGTTCCAATTTTGCATTTGGCAAACTATAATTTGTGATTAACATTCCAATGCTAAATGTCAAGTAAGATGAAATTAAGAAAGAAAGTCACTTCATTAAAAAATTTATATGTTGGATCTTACATTCACTAATAATTCACAGAAACAAGTTATTATATACTTGCTTCCCTAGGTTACTTGGTCAACGCATGAAAATGTGGCCAATTATACAGAAATGAGAAGTTTCATGATTTCATCAGAAACGAATCTAATAGATGTCACATAAAGTTCATATAACAAACAAGTAAAGTTTCAAACTAACTAGGAAATTAAAATTTGAGCACTGATGGGTTAACAGCAACCACCCAAATACCCAATCAAGCAAATCCACCTGGAAATAACAACTCAAAGCACATGCAGTTTCATAACTTCAAAATCCATAGGCGGCTTTGCTTGATTTTGTGCTACCAAATTCTTTTTAGCAAGCTTTTCACACTATCAATGCTTTTAAAATTTAGCACAAAAGCCTAAAGAGGGACATTACTAGGCAGGCTGATCATCAAGATCTCTTTTTGAAAAAATATTAGAAAAATGTAGACTGGTGTTTAGAGTTGATCATCTAGTGCGATGTTTGTCACGCAGGAATAGAATATGGTAGGAATGGAGAGTATAAGATGAGAAAAATGAGACCCAAATGGTCTGTTCATAAACAAATAAGGCTCCTGAAAATGCCGATAAAAATAAGGATATGTAACAAGCTGAAGACACTTAAAGGATTGCAAAAAATCCCCAAAAGGATGGTTATGATTATAAAGCAAAAAGGCTACAAACAAGTAAAACTGCAAAATCAAAATGGGTGCAAGTGAATCTCAAATTTTAAAGTAAGACATTATTGCTGTTATATCCCAATTCAACAATGAGTATCGGCCCCCCTCTTCGACAAATTAGTCTGAAGTCCTCTCAAAATGCATATATCGAAATACTCCTACAGACCATGAAATCCACTCACGATTCTAATAATTCAGTACAGTAAAAAAATAATAATAAGAATAAAGAATAAAAGACCCAGAAACCGGTTTCTTTCTTATTTTCCCAACATTTTCCCAGCAACCAAAATGGGGTTTGTCACAAGATTGCTATCTACAACCAATCGAAAGCAAAAATGAGGGGAATAAAGGAAGGAAGATTATGCAGACCTATCATCTTGGAGATGAGCTTGAGCTCGTCCTGGGCCTCTTCGATGAGCTCTTCGACCTGACCACAGCCTAGACGCTTCTCGATTGCTTCCCAGTCCTCCTCCTCCTGACACACCTTGAGGCGGTGGCGCGTGAAGCTCTCGACGGTCTTCCGGTAGCCCTCGTCCTCAGGAACGGCCTGAATCTTCTTTAGGGTTTTGTTGTAGAGAGTGATTAACACTTCCCTCGCGTTTGGCACCACTTCTAGCCCCACGATTCCCGTCGTCTCCTTCATCTTCGCCGTCTCCTTCATCTTCGCCGTCAGCGGCAGCACAACCCTCCGGAGAAACATCTCCTCTCTCCTCTCTCCTCTCTCCTCTCTCCTCTCTCTCACACTCTCACCTCGACTGGGTATTCGGAATTGACACTCAGAGTGATCATGCTATGGACATTTTTGCTGATTATTTTGCAAAATTTGGATGTGTTGTAAAAAAATAATATAAATAAATAAATAAGGGATAAATTATACCGACGTCACATTTATCATAATTACAGAAACCTATTTCATAGTTTGAGAAATTACTCAGATTTCTCCTGAAAATAAAATTAACCGTGTCACGAAACTCCCTTCCTAATGACAAATCGTCAAATACACCAACTAATTTGTCTAATTTATTAAAATGCCCTCAAACTGATTTCTAAGGTTCAAAATGTCTTTAACTGCAACAAAGGTAATATGAAAATTTCAATTTATTCATTACATAATATCAGCAAAATCTATCATTGACAAAATCTGTCATTGACTAACGTTGATGTAGAATAGAAGGAAGGTCCATGTAGGTTAGTTTATTTTTTAGGGATGTTTATGTAATTTTTCAAAATATAAAAAATGTTCTTATAATTATTACAAATTATAGGAAAAATCAGTGTAATTTATCCAATAAAATAAGATGGCATAAAAAAAATAAAAAAATAATAAAAATAAAAATAAAAAAAGAGAGAGTACAGCAATACCCTGAGATTTGTTAAAAGGACATACAGATGAAACTTAGCTCATTTTAGGACAAAGACATCCCCTCAAGTTTGATAAAGTTGCCAAAGACAACCAATGGTAATGAATTGACATTTCTGCCCTTTGACTTTTATATTGACCATAAAATGACATTTCTGCCCTCAGAGACCTAATGGTAATGAATTGACATACATATATACATATCCACACATACACAATCCTTTCTTTCTTTCTCTCTCCCTATATGTATACACATATATAGACACACATCCAAATTAGATTGAGAGAGAGAGAGAGAGAGAGAAAGAAAGGGATTCAGTAATTCGGACTAAACCCAAACCAAATTGACTTACAATTCAATAAAGATTACAGACTTCGGGCTTTTCTTAACAATAATTCGGGCTTCAATAATACAGATTGAATAATTCGGGCTTCAATAATACAGATTGAGATTCCACAGTGATGATTAACGAGAAATACATAGAATCTAGATCACTGAAGGGACTAAATACAAAATATGTAGATGAAATTATTGGTTATATATAGAAGATTGAGAGAGTCTATAATTCTCACAAGGGTCCAATGAAAACAAATTCTAAATTCAAAAAGACTAATCACATGGTACATGAACCCCCTTAAAAAAAACAAAAACACTCTCAGAACAACCTAACTAATCTTTTGAAGAATCCTAGTGTTGTACAGTGCTACCCTATCTAGATTTCAATTAATATATGGCCACCATTTTCAGAATAAAAAACAGCTGAGAGCCTCAATTCATAGGGCAAGAACAAGCTTCCACAAGACTTGAATCCAGAAATCAAGAATTGCTACCTTGTCAAGTGACCCAAAATCATCGGCGATAGTTCAGTTCGGCAACGCTATAAGCAACACGGATCCTGCTCGATGTGAAACCCAGTCCATATTGAGGAACAAATTGCAACTCCGGCGAGATCTGAGCTTAAACCATCCATAGAAGCGGGCAAGATCTGAGCTTAAACCGGAGGGACTCGGACGAAATGACAAGATTCTTTTTTTGTGATCGACGAAGTGGGCCCTTACGTCGTCAAAGACGTCACTACAAAACCCAATGACTCGGTCTAAACAGCACCGCCGCAGGCAACGGCGCTCCGGCGCTGAGGATGTGAACTGGGTTTTTCAAGGGTTCACCATCGCCGCAGCACCACACATGTGGGTCACGTTGTGCCGCCGTAAGGCAAATGTTATGTCGCCACCACCGTGCTCATCCTTCGCCGGACGATTTCACAGCCGGAGTATAGAGAGAGAAAGGAGAATGGCAATTACAGAAAGGGTTTATGTATATATCGATGTAGAGAGAGAAAAAAAGAAAGGAGAAGGGCAATTAGGTCATTTAGTTGTTTTTGATATTTTACTTTTAAAATTAATCGGATGATGTAGGGAAAATTAGACTTTTCATTTGTTTTTAGACTCTATTTAGCTGTCAAATCTAACAAGGGGATGTTATTGTCCAAAAATTGAATATGTTTCTTCTGTGTGTCTTTTTGGCAAACCTCATGGAGTGTTGCTGTACTTTACCAAAAAAAAAAAATTAATAATAAAATTTTAATTTACAAGTGTTAAAATTGTAAATGTTAATTATATAAACTTTAGATTAAAAAAATTTAAACTGGAGTAACAACTAAATAAGGAAAAAAAAATTATAATTATTATTTTTCTTGATATTGAAAAATAACGTACTCTTGAACAATAAATATTAATTATTTTTCTTATTAATTCAAAATTTACCATAGCACTTTATGTTTCTCCTTATTAGAGTTAAACTAGAGATTTTTTTTTTACCACAAAAATAGAAAACAAAGTTAATTGGAAACTCGTTAAGAAATACAAGCATAAAACTTTCATTTTGTGCTCAAAATAGGACCAATATCCTCTCCGGTGCAGAGCATGGAAAACAATTAAGATCAACGGGTAAAGTATAGAAAACCCCCCTCGACTTGTAACATTTTTCAGTAAACCTCCTTTATCTATTTTTTTACCAAATAACCCCCCTCAACTTGTAATCTTTTTCCAATAAATCATCCTTCTCTAATTTTTTACCAAATAACTCCCGTCAACTATGTGAAGGGAGGTAAAAGAGTTGATATTTTGATCAAAACGCCCTTTTATTTAAAATTTAATTCTCCTGAATTTCAAAAATTCATATCTCACAAACCGTACATTTAAAAATTGTAAATCATATATGCACAGAAAGCTTATGAAATAAGTATTCCAGAAATATAAGATATATATAACAAACCATTCATAACCAGAGAGAAATAGGCAATCTAAAAATCTACTCCAACGATCTTATTTTATTTTTAAAAAATAAAATACTCAAGATATTTGCAAGAAATTTTTCAGAATTATTCATTTACATATAGAGTAGAATATATAAAAAATTTAGCCCCAACAAAGATCGATTACGTCAAAATATTTTCATTCTTTTATAGACTCACCATTTAAAAAATAACTAAAAATGAATATTCGGTCTCTACTGGGGCTAATTTATATATATATATATATATATATATATATATATATATATATATATATATATATATATTATGCTCCATATGAAAATGAATAATTTTAAAAAAATTCTTGCAAATAACCCGAGTATTTTATAAAAAATAAAATAAAATAAGATTATTGCAATAGATTTTTAGATTGTCTATTTCTCTTTGTTATAAAGTTTTGTTAAATAAATCTTATATTTCTGGAATCCATGTTTTATAAGCTTTCCGTGCATATATTATTTGCAATATTTGGATATACAATTTGTGAGATGAATTTTTGAAGTTCAAAAAAATTAAGATTTAAATAAAAGGATATTTTAATCCAAATATAAACTATTTTACCCCCTTAGATAGTTGAGGGGGGCTCTTTGGTAAAAAAAAAAATTAGACAAGTGAGATTTATTAGGAAGGGCTACAAGTCAAAGGAAGTTCTTTGGTAAAAATTTAGATGCGGGGAGTTTACTGAAAAAGGTTATAAGTCGAGGGGGGTTTTTCTATACTTTGCCCTAAGATCAACTCCGCAGCATGTGAGATCCATTGATAGGTTATTTCAATCCTACTTAGTGCACCGAACAAGTCAAAGAAAATTTTGATTAATTATCTAACTTTTATGCTATGTTTGTCGATATTTCATTACCTGTAATTCTCATTTATTTATTTTTGTTAAAATCATAAAACAATATAAAATTGAAATGATCATTGATCCGTATTTGGTAAACCCAATTTAAATAGTGCTTATTGGGTATGATTAGTTTTAAAAATAATGAATGAAATATTCATTTAATTATGACTAGGGATGACGATTAATATAGTTAACTTTTTTCTTGATTTACCCAACATTGTTATGAAAATGAAGAGTTTAAAAATAGGCAATAGGAAATCAAGTACTAATGCCGTTGAAAATCAAGTACCAGGGCCTTTAAGAACCATCCATTGATGGAGCAAGTCCAACCAAAGTCATTTTTTTGCTGAAAACATTCGAGAAAATCTGTTTTAATAGTTTTTCTATATGCTCCCTCTATATATATATATATATATGTTGTTATATATATAGCTCTGCACACAATCCCTCTTCACTTCAACAAGCACTTTTTTTCTTCAAAGACTTCACTCTAAACCTTGTCAATATCAATCAAGAAGATTAATGGTAGAGGAAGAGCAGCAACCAGAGCATGATCACTTGCCACTATCAAATAGTTATGGCGGCGGAGGAGTAGACGAAGAGGCGCAATCCAAAGAACTTGGACGCAAGAAACGTTTCGCATATGTTGTGTTTCAAACCTGTATTATATTGATCTTTGTATTTATTATTATTTTTTTATTTTACCTGGTAATGGTTGGAGTGTGAATAATTAGTTGGGAGTAGGGAAAGCGAATTTGAACTTGGGGGCGCACTTAAGATCTGACCCTTTGTCACTAAGACAACATATATATAAAGTCTTCCCCGTATCATGTTAGTCATCTGAGTAGGCATGGCAACGAGATCATCCAAAAACTTTTTTGGAGCAATGTGGTTGAGGATGCTGTTTTGGTCCATATTCCGGTCAGTTCTCTCAATTTTGCTCAGCGAGATGTGCTCAATTCTATTGTATTATGAGATGTCATATTTGTTGTTTGCCTGAAGAAAAACAAAACTGCTTACACTCTCCTTCGCATATACATCATACCACACAAGTTGTCTTTTATTGTTCTACAAAAATGGCAAAACGTTTCAAAGTTTTAACTAACATAAAATACGAAGGAAATGGTTTTTTTTTTTTGCCATTTTTCCGGGCGTAAAAAAAATAAAATGAAAAACATTTGCTAATGTATGACATATTATGTCAAACAAACCAAAAGGACAATCAAAATTATTGTAAACAAAATTATCGAACCCTTTGATTACTAGCCTTCTAATCGACATAATGCAACACAGAAAGCATCAAATGATGAGACTTGATCTTCATTTTTATATGTGTAGTCCGTTTTCATTCTGATAATACGCTCGAAATGACCGTAACAGTTGGCAGAGAGATCGAATTCTACTGTTCCTGTAGTAAGAATCTACAGTTGAAAATTACAGGTCAGGCAGGCAATATCATACAAGACACCAAAAAATAGCAGGAATTACCTAGAAAAGTAGTACCAGTAAAACCAAGCATTTTTTTTTTTCCTTTATTTATTTTGTTTTTTGTTGTTAACATGCTAATTTACATCTTCTCTCTATTGTCCACAAATAAATGTAAAGAACTAGCTCCTACAAAAGACATTCTATTTGGCACGAACCCACCGAGCTGAATTTGCTTTTGCCACATTGGAATAGTATTCACCCACATTTGCCACAAAGAGTGGATCCCTATCTTCGTAATCGAATTCATTATAACTACCGCCATCAGTATTTCCTTGATCCGTTTGTTCCAATTCTTTCGTCAGATCCTCCATCGTCTTCTTCAAACTGGCTTTGCTCATCTGCCCCGCCTCCCCGGTTGAGATCCCAACCATTGTGATCTTCGGGAGAAAAGGGCTTGGCGGTACTTCTTGTTTTATATATTTTCTGGTTGTACCTTTCATTCTGTAGGATTGGAGCAGGGGAGGAGATGAGCATTAAAAAATAATGCAGGTTGCTATAGGAGCCATATCAACAACAGAGAATAGGGTGTTACCTTTTATCTGATTGATTCTGGAGTTTTTGCTCTTGTTTCAACCACGGATTAGTAGCCCAATCTCCAAAGGGGAATCGGAAATCCTGTTTCTGTCCTTCCTCGGGTTGAACATTATTGTTTGAATTGACCTCGGAAGTGCCAGGATACTGGAGGTGCTTACTATTACTTTCTGCTTCAGAGTTTGCAATGAAGTTGGATGATACGGATGCTTTCATAAGGGAAGCTGCACTCCTGCAATCGAATGAATATGATGTTTACAAAATATACAAATAAATAAGGACTACACGTGCGGGATCTGCCTGCTTGCCATTGAGATGGGTCCAATAGGTTCTGGTATACAATCGGATCCATCATGTCAGTATTCCAAAGAAAAAAAAAGTGTACACGTGTAAAAAGGGTCTTACCATTGTGAGTGTGGGTGGGCATATATAGAAGTTCAACATATAAAATTTAGGTTAACTAAATGATTAGTCATTTGATTCCAGGATTTTTTGAGGGGGTCAAAAACTAAAAAATATTATACTAAACAGATGGCTAATATCAGTCCAATTGAGTTGATGTCATGCCAAGCTTATCAACTAAATGGGACTCATTAAAAGGTGGGTTCTGATTTCTGTTTTCATTCTAAATCCAACGCAGCTAGTGCAAAAGGAAGTATAAACTATTGAAACAGGGGGAAATAGAAAACAAGGATGGTAGATTAAAAGAACTAAAACAAAATTTTCACCAGAAAGAATCTACACAGAACTTAAACAATATTTTCCACGTTCAAATAATTTGTCTGCAGGATCAGATGTGCTCAATCTTCGTTCCCTGGTAAAAATTTATAGGCATAGCAAGCTCAGATCAACAGTGTATTTTGAATGTTAAACTGCCACACAAATGCTTTTGTCAGAATTTCCATCAGTTTCAAGTTATTAGAGCTGCAGTATTTTTTTTTATTTTTTTTTCCCTATTTTGGTCAACGATGGTGGTTTCAGCCTCTTGAGCCACCCCATAATCCACAACCAGGCACATGTAGTCCCCCATCCCCATACACCAGCCTCCAGGCAATTACTAGAAAAATTCATGTGGTTGCCGCCCAAGGGGATTTGAACTCTCAGAATGGGAGGTGACAATCTTACCATTAGGCTATCTCCTTGGGATTAAGTCAATAGTGCAGTTTAAACTACATAATAGCAGTTTAAGAGAGCTAGAAAAGAAGAGGGCACACCATTTTTCCAATCTTGACATGCATAAAACCTGAAACTTCAAGGAGTGAACTACCTAAAAGCTTTTAGACATAAAACACCCTTTTGGGAAAATTGAAGCCAATATCCTGATCAACAGTTCGAATCCAGGTTCTAATTTTATTAACAAATTAAAAAAAAATAAAAATAAAAATAAAGAGGGTAAGAGATGCATCACCGGAAAAGAAGAAATTGTGCATGTTGAACCGATCAGAGAAGGTAGGTTTCGCTACAAGCCATTCAAGCTAAAAGATAACCTTTAGCAATGATGTATGATAGTTAACAAAAGAGAAGACTACATGGTGGTAATGAACCAATGCAGGGAAGAAGAGAAGACTGTGAGTTGTGCGCAGCGGAATGGTTGTGGAATATAATATGGATAAATAACCTAGATGGGTGGTGAATAGGAAGACTGTGAGTTGTGCGCAGCGGAATGGTTGTGGAATATAATATGGATAAATAACCTAGATGGATGGTGAATAGGTTTTACTTGCTCCTTTAACTAATTTTTACTTATTTTAATTTTACCGAAATAAACCTAAAAAATCAAACCCTCAAAGCAAAAATAAAGTGCAAGTAAAGTAAATAAAGTTTGAGAGATAACACCAGGATTTTTAGTGAAGAAACTCCACTTGTAGAATAGACCAATTGTTGTGGGAAAAACCTCGTGAATTGTAAAATCCAGAACAAAATGATCCACTATGTTTGAAGCAAAGTACACTGAACATTGACTCGGTACTAGATTTGGCTACCAGTTCCCAACTGACATAAGTGAAACCTTCTATTCGGCTACTTGTTCCTTGATTTGGCTACCAGTTCGAAATAGGCAGAATGTAAACTTCTTAAAAACTTCAAATTTCTAAAACTTCCTAAGTGTTCTCACACACTCACATACCTTTCTAAAGCGTTGTTCTCATCATCCCGGAATGTATTAAAGTATAAACACTTGAACTTTTTCAAAATCCGCATCCGATCTTTAATCTTGAAATTTTGAACCAAACAATTACATCACAATCGGACTTGTTTTGACAACGAATTAGCCAATACAAAATATATATTTTTCACAATCTCCCCATAATATATATGTATCTCACAAAGACTACATGATAATTGTGTGATAGAGAAGGATCACACATATGAAATCCCAGCTGATGAGAAGATGTGGATCTGCTTATCGACAATAGTAATCCTAGATTTATTTTATATAGAGAGAGGGAAAAAAATGCTTATCCATATTTACTTATTTAGCACCAAAAAGTATAAATTAAAGTATTACAAATGTTGGGTAAAATTCTATTTTAGTTGGATTACTGTTTAGGATGTGCTCGAAGCGAAACCTTGAAGGGCGTGTTGAGATGGATCCCATGAAAGAGAATCCTTCCTTGCTTATTTAAATATAATTTGAAGCCCACTCTGTTTTTCATGCAAATGCGGAAGTTGAAGCAATATCTTAAGCCAATAAATTGAGCAGAGAAACAATAGGAATATGAGTTCTATTTTTTTTTTTTTTTTTTTTTTTTTTTTTTTTAAGTTGGTGGTTGCATGATGGAAACAGATTATTCCTGAGAAATCATAAATCACGAGAAGAGGATGCATATCCCCTCATCAAAGAAACTATCAATCCGAGATTCATTGGATATAAAAAGACATTTATCCTAGAAGAGCACCAAAAAATTATAAACTGAAGAATGAAATGTGAAGTACAATTCTATCCTAGTTGTGGATTATTGGTTAGGATCATAGTTCTCTACATCGGGTGAGTCTCTCTTAACGCACTCGGCCGAGTCTAAGTCCAATACTCACCAATATATCAGTGAGAATCGGAATCACATGAGACTCGGCCAAGTTCCTAGGGAATCAACCAAGTATCTTCCGAGTCTCTAGGGACTCAGCCGAGTAATCACGTATGATGGTGTCCTTGTGGTAGTGTTCATGGATGATAAAATTTCACGACCATCATAACCGATTTCATTACGTTATGCCTGATACAGTTACAACGCATCTGTGTTCATAAAACACATCCACGTCCTCATCTTTGAACCATGTGCTCAAGCTAAGATTTGAGAAATCTTCAAGGGTTTATTAAGATGACTCCCGCAAAAGAGAAGTTTTCTTTCCTGATTCTTTTACATAGATGTTAAGTAAGTTCACTCTGCTTTTATGCAAACATAAAATAAACCTATTTTCTAGTCTATGGAGGGGATATTTTCTAGTATTTCAGTCTTGTACTATCATTTACAACAATAGATCCTAATTCTGAAAAAAATCCATTCAAATTAATGGATGTCCTGATATGTTGAGGAAAACAGAGTGCGATGATCTTTTCTCCATGGACAGGCATTCTCCCCTTTATATTTTAACCAATAGCTATTTTTGAGGGAACAAGACCTATCTGATGATTTGAATGTACACAATAGACCAGCTGCATTGGATCTCTAAATTGCTAGATTTAACAATTCAGCAGTATCTATTAAGCAGGGAATGTTGACAAAAGGTAAACCTGCACCTCCATATATGATCTATTTGTCTTGCAAATTTATTCTTGAAGCAGTTAAGACATATAAAGTTTTCACACAGTATTCATTCCACATCAATGCTGAAAATGCACAATGCTGAGAATGCCATGAAGGTACCTTTCTTCAAATGAATCGACTAAATAAGGAAATTTGGGTTGAATTCCAGTAGCTTTTCTCAACCACCTGTTACCAAGGAGCACTTTGTCAACGGTATAAAGGAGCTGAATTTCAGCAACTTTTGATATGACGCTCAAAGGTATTCCAGGATTGCCCATTTCGTCCAGCACTTCCTGTACCTGTCACGAGGAGATATGCAGAAATCAATAACACCAAATGTGCCCGATCTAAAGAATAGGCACATCTTACAAGGACAACTTGCACAAGGCATCCATTCAAATTTTTTGTTTTTTCTCTTACTATACATACCCATGTTGTAAGAAAGACTTGAACCTTGTACCTCCCCCCTCTCTGCCCCTTTCGGGGTGGAGAGGTGATAGCACTCAAGCTAACAGCTGGACATGGCATATCTTCACTTTTCTTCTTTATATGTCACAAACGCGTGTGCACACACATACGTTCTTCACAGATATTGGTCACCCACTTTGACAAGCATTAGCTTTTCCTTTCTTCTTTTTCTTTTTCTTTCTTTCTTTTTCCTTTTTTTTTTTTTTTTCTTTTTTTTTCGCGTTTTGGTTACAAAAATATGATTTCTTCTCTAAAAAAGCATGCATTGCTCCTATCTGCTCAAATTTACTACGTCAATATGTTGTTTCCTTCTTTTTTCTACTTTTTTTTTTTTTCCAAATATTGGTAAGGGTTATGATCTGCTTCCCTTCTAGTTGCTACACAAAAAAGGTAATAGAAGACTAATGGATTTTATACCTCGGGGGGCTCCCATACACTCTCAACATTCTCTTCAACCACTTCTGTTGTCAGGTTGTCATCAATAACATCCCGTCGCCGTTGCAAGTGCCGAGTCTGAATTAATGTATGGAAATGCTGATCAACAGATTCTTCAAGAATGTTGTCTAACATGTTTTTATCGAAGAAGTACGGAGTATACCTAACAGAAGCAAGACTGCAGTGTAAGTAGCATACTTTTGAATATACTTATCAAAAAAAAAGTAGCATACTTTGAATATACTTATCAAAAAAAAAGTAGCATACTTTGAATATAAACATTAATTTCGAACGAGTGACATTTTGGATGAACAGAAATGTTTTGGAGTTCAAACTCCGAAACCGAAGCAGAGAGAGGGGTTGGTGGCCTGTCTGCTTTGGATTCAGAGTTTCATATTCCACATCATTTTTATCCCAGTAATTTCAGACTCCATTTCATTGCCCTAGGATGAATGGCAAATATTTGAGAAGCAGAGAGTCATAATGAATAAATGAAGTAAAGGCCATCCATTGAAAAAGCAAATTCATATTTTTACGATATATTTCATATTCTTTTATAGGAAAATAGGGTGAATAAGAGCTACAAACTTAAAAATAGGCAAGAGAAGTGTCACCATTTCACTTTCCGCGAAGAGGGCACAAAACCCTAAATATCATAAATCAAATAGCAAGTGACAAAAACAGGGTTAAAATCCTATGCTCACTAGACACTGATAACTATATGTAAGTCCCACTTTGAGGGATAAAAAAAATATTTTTTTTTTTGGCAAGTACTTCGAGGGATAAAAATACGAGGCTCAGAATACATCCAGTAAGAAGATCTTCTAATCTACACAATTTAACTCTGTTGTTTCGATTCATGTAAAGATAATTTAACATCATGAAGATATTATGATCCTAAAATTACAGATAAGCACCAATAATGCAGATTAACTAACCACTTAATCCCGTCTGTTGTTGCTATAGCAATATCTAGGTTCTGAGCACTGAAAACAGGAACACCTTCAACCTTTTTCCTTCCACCATTCTGTGGCATTATCTTAAGAAGTTTGTTGGCTTCCTTGACCTGCATGAACAGAAGATTATTGCAAAGAATGCAGATGTCTAAACAACGGTGATGTTGTATCTTACCTGTTTCTCATTTGGAACGAACTGGAACAAGTGAGGTTTTTCCTGCATAAAACACGGTAAAAGTTTTTTAAATTAGTCTCTGATGCTAAAGGAGCAGAAAATAAAATTCAACATGAAATAAGGAACGTTACATAAATCATATAGCACATATATGGGCTTCGTCCCCCTAATTCCTCAATCTAAACAGTGAGCATGCATGGCATCTTGAATAAGGAATTGCTCAACTCAAGAGGTAGCAGAAAATAAAATTCAACATGAAATAAGGAATGTTACATAAATCATATAGCACATACATGGACTTCGTCCCCCTAATTCCTCAATCTAAACAATGAGCTTGCATGGCATCTTGAATAAGGAATTACTCAATTCAAGAAGGAAAGCAGGTCCCGCTATTTGGGTTGACAACATGGATAAGTTTGCCAAGCTACGCTCTCGAGGACCAGTTTTTTACTAATTAATGACCATCAAGTCTTCCTCCATCTTAATTAATGTCTTCTGCGGCCCTCCCCTCGTAATTGTAGGGCATTCAACTCAAACCATACTATTCCTTCTGTATGGTGCATCCAGTCGACTTCACTGCTGACGACCAAAATCATTAGCCATTTCATCTTCCTAGAAGTAGTAACATCAAACTTTTTTAAAAATCACAATATTCTGTTATCACATCACTTCTTGCCACTCATTTATCTCAACATTTAACATTCCCAACCCAACTACACTCAATTTTTGGACAAGTTGTTCTTTAGTTTCCTAAATCTTTTTTTTTTTTTTTTTTTTAAAGTAAAAACTGTATAAAAAGCACTCAAAAGGGGAGCGAATCCCAAGAGAAATACACAAGGCCAAAAAGAGCCTCCAAGCCTCCAAAGAGGCCAAAAAATCGATAATCTCCTCTAAAGATCTATAATCTCTCCCTCAAACCCAACAAAAAAGAGTGGAAAGAATAGAGAATTTAAGAATAAAAATAGGCATCTCCTTTCCATCGAAATATCTCCTATTCCTCTCGAGCCAAAAACACAACCACACACAAAGAGGCGCAGCCCTCCAAGCATCCTGAATATGAGCCCCCACAGAACAACCTCTCCATGCCTCAATCAACCCTCTAGAGGATCCAGGCATAACCCAGAGAATCCCAAACAAACCAAGCATCAAATCCCAACAGTCCCTAGCCATGGTGGAATGTAAAAGAAGGTGATCCACTGTCTCCTCATCACAAAGGCACATGTAACAACGATTGACCACCACCTAATTTCTCTTTCTCAAGTTATCCTAGGTTAAAATCTTTCCCAAAACAGAGGTTCAAGCAAAGAAGGCCACCTTGAGGGGAGCCTTTGAGCGCCAAACAAACTTCCAAGGGAAAGGACCTCGAGGCTCTTCTGTAAGACACCTAAAGAAGGATCGAACATTGAAACGACCCTAAGAGTTAGAAGCCCAAATCCAACTATCAAAATCACCAGCCATAATCCCCTGTCAATAGAACTCCTCCAAAAAACGAGTGGCATCCTCATCTCCCAGTCCTGAAATAGACGTCTGAATCGAACATCCCAAACCAGTCTCCCGCTATCAAGATGATAATAGTTGACCACCATGGCCTACCTATCGGTAGCAATCCTGAAGAGCCGTGGGAAAGCGAGAGCAAGAGAAAGGTCCCCACACCAAACATCCTCCCAAAAACTGATCCTCCTACCATCCCTAAGTCGAAAACGAACATGTTTGGAGAATTCATCCCATCCCTTCCGAATAAACTTCCAAACCCCCACACCCCTTGGACCACGCACCTCAAGAGAACTCCACCCTCCTCTACTCTCCCCACATCTACTCGCTACAAAGTACAGCCCTCCTCCAAAGCCCATGCCTCTCCACCCCAAACCTCCACAGCCATTTCCCAAAGAGAGCTTTATTGAAAGGCACCAATCTTCTAAACCCCAAACCTCCACTCCAAATCGGCCTGCACACTTGCTTCTAACGAACCAAATGAAACTTGAACTCCTCCCCTCTTCCCCCCCACAGAAAATTTTGCTACAATCTCTCAATCCTCTCAGCCACAAAAGAGGGAATCTGGAATAAAGAGATAAAATAAGTGGGAAGGCATGAAAGGGTGCTCTTAATCAGAGTAACCCGTCCACCTTTGGAAAGGTACTGCTTCTTCCAACCCGCTAGCCTCCTCTCGAATCTATCCACAACAGGATCCCAAACCCCCACACACCTCGAAGGAGCTCCCAGGGGCAACCCTAAGTAAGAGGTGGGAAAGGAGCCAGTACGACAACCAAGAATACTAGCAAACATCGCGATCTCAGGGACCCCCCAACTAGCACCAAAACGCTCTTTCCAACACTCACCTTACGGCCGAAGACAACTTGGAACTAAATCAAAACGCATCTCAGATATCTTAACTGGGACACATTCGCATCACAAAGCACCAAAGTATCATCCGCAAACATCAAGTGGCTTTAGTTTCCTAAATCTCAACAATTCATGGCTGGCCTATTTATTTATAATGGTTAGCTCAGTCACCATAATGCATATACAAATTGATATAAAAATGCAGAAAAATATCAGTGGAAAGATATATAATATTATAAATAAATAAAATATCTAAAACCGGGATAAAGTCCTTTTAGATGTTGAAGGATAGATAAAAAAATCAATAAAACGAATAGTTGTCACATGCTAAGTGGTTGCTAATACATCAATGCACATATGACAACCATATGGATTCTAACTTCTAACTTCCAAAGTAGCCACCTGAAAGTCGATTTTCAGTAACGAGAGACATACAGACATCGTGAAACTCATAATGAAATTTGACGAAGTTACATTGAAGCAAGCTCACAAAGCAGCAAGCTTTATGATACATGTGCACACCCACATATGTGCTGAACAGAGAACAGGAACAAGGAAACAAATATTTGATATGATAAATATAAGCATAAATCCAATACTTCTAATCAAATATACCACCAACAAACGTCAGCAGCTTTTACACAGATTGAGCCAGCCATACCTTGAAATGTTCATATGCTAAATCAAGACGACAAGCACCAACCACACCACTTGGAATATTGAGCCGTTTAACATAAGAAACTGGAAAGATATGAATCCATTACACAAACACGTCCAATTAGACTAAATAAAGAATGCAGATCAGTTTGAAAAAATAAATAATAAAAAGACAAGAATGAGAAATACTGAATGAATTAAGCACACATCAAACTAAATAACACATCAAGTTAATTCTGACGATCTATAATCTGTGAAATTCATTTAGAATTTTTCTGCCTAGGGGCATTCATATCTACACTTCTATAACCCAACAGAAAATAATTCTTTCCAAGATCATAAACTTGCACACCATCATAAGGATGCCTCAAACTTGTGATGGAGATCTGAGGAAAGTTTAATAGAGAACAGGAAAACATATAAAGGCATTTACAAATATACCTGCATCACCTAGATCCATGAAAAAGCGGAACACAGGGCCATTTCTCTCGCTCTTGGTTACTGCTGAAAAAATCTTCTTAACCCACTCAGGCGTTCTACAGGTCAAAGAGAATCAGCCAAACATACTCATAAGTATTTTGTTGAAGAAAATGATAATCAACCACAAAAAAGTAAAACAAAAAATATTAAAAATTAAGAAGCATACATTTTAGAAATATGCTTAACTACATACATATTCGAAGAAGCACGGACACTTCTATAAGGTGCCATGTCCCTGTCGGACACCGACACTCCATGGACACTCAAACACGTGTCCGACAGTTCATGGCCGTATCCAACATTTAAAAAATATATTTTATTATTTCGGAAACTTGGCCTAGGCATCTTGGACACTTGATCAACACATTTCGGACACTTGATCGACACATCCTACACTATTCGTCTTATATGAAACAAACACACAACAGTCCTGGAAACAACATTATGAATTTACATCAAAGTGTTCAACCTCTAAGGAACAAAAACATTACTATAATGACAACATAGGATGATAATATCATAAATAATATAACATATTCTTTTTTATATTCAAATAGTGTCATCTTATAACTTGTGTAACTGTAGTATAGAATTTGTAAATTAAGGTTCTATGATTGTCTCAATCAATAGATATATAAATGAAAATTGATATTTATATTAATCGTGTCGACACCATATCCGCATCCTACTTTTTTAGAAGGCGCGCGCGCGCACAAAATAAAATAAATAAAAAACCTCAATAAGTTAAGTGGTTGTGCATAAAAATATCATATTTGTGGGCATTGGTGCATCTATTGTTTTCCTTTGGCGGCTCTTACAAACAAAGAAATCTTGATCTGCCACAAAGTTCATCTATGTGCAATATGCATGTATCTGTAAATATATTCTTATCAATGTATGATATCTTGCAACCATTTAATAAGCATTTCACCAAAAAAAAATATCTAGAGATGAAGTTTAAAAGGATATGCAAAAGCTAATTTTCCATTCTAATTTATAGTTTGATAACAAGAAGGTTCAGTAATAAATTAAAGCAATGTTTAAAAACAGACTCCAAATAGTTGAGAAAAGATTTGTTGATTTCAGAGGTTTCGTTTAGACTATTTTCCTTTTTTCTTTTTCTTTTTTTTCTTTTTGGATAAGTAATATTTCATTATGAAAACTCAAGAGGGAAGCGCAGACATAGAAACACAGACATGGTAAAAATCCTGATAGCCTACAACAATTTGTGTCTGTTGTGCCACTATATTCTGAAAGATACATCAAACAAGGACTTATTGCCTTTTAAAACTATTTGTAAGACGCACCAGTGGAGATACTCAGTAAACTGATGGCTAGAGCCTGTAACACAACTAGACTACAGCAAAAGTAACAAATATGTGCATTACTCACTATTCTCCCAACCAACGTGGGGTGCTATGAGTGACGGACTAGATAAAATCATACAAGTAAAACTTTTGACATTATTCACGAAGTGACTTCTTTCAAACTAGAACCATGTAACCATGCTTAGCAACCTGCATTTATAATGTCACAACAAAAATTGACACCTAGATTGCGGACATGAATATGGCAAAGAAAAAAGAACATTAGTTCTGTGACATATAAGTCCTTAATGACTCATTGGAAGCTGGAGAGAATGGTAGCAAGGAAATATATGAAAGCAAAAGGAAAGAAGCGGATTTGAGATCCCACCATCTAGTAGGAAGGAAACGGAAATAGAAAGGAAGAGAGAAGAGGGGATCCCCTTAGGCACACCAAACTCTTTTTATGTTTTCTCCCTTCCAACAATACACTTCCTTATATATTTAAGGGTGTATGCTAAATAGAGAAGTACCCCTTTGCTTCCCTCATTTTGCTTTACCCAACAAAAAAATAATAAATATAAAACAAACAATTTTCTTTCCTCATTTATACGTTTTCCATCACTCCTACCTTCCCTTCTGGACAATTCTCCATCCCTCGTAATTCATAACAAGTGCAAATGTAGAATGAAACTTGAATCTCCACAGAAGAATTGAATAAACCCTCAAGGAAAAGTTGCATCCTATCTATACTTCCATAATTCAAGAAGACCTTTTCTTGCATCCTATCTAGAGGTGTAGGTCTCCTTTAGAAAATGAATTTAAACAGAAGACTACAATAAAATAACCCACGTTAAGCTTCTAACTCAAACAAAAGTGAGAAACTATTTTCAATCTAGCAAGCAAGTGATTGCCAAAAAGGACTTCTAGACAAACTATCAGCTTCCATCCTCCATCCTCAAGGAAGTCATTGACTGAGCACATATATAAAAACCACTATTTTTTATTTGTTTACCTTGACAAGAAACTCACACACCCATTTTGTCTCTATTGAGACTTGAACCCTTGACCTTCTATTTTAAAAGGTGATGCATTAGCACTGAGCTAAAGCCCTTGGTAGCCAGCAGACCAACTACTTCGTCACTTTTAAGTGACTCAAAATCCTTATCAGACCCACAACATCCGACGTATTTCTTTGTACAATCAGGCCAAAGTGTTTCTCAACCAACTTTTGGAAAACCAATCAATAGAGCACCTAAATTCATAAGCTCAAATTCGTTTCCTACCCGTTACATTAAGGTTATATTCAAAAATAGAAGTATACGACACAAAAAAATATTGACCTTTCTTAGTTCAAGTGCAAATTTCAAGCATTCCCAATTCAGAATTTCAGAGGTATATAGGATTAGCAATCAAAATTTTATAGCACTGAAGTCAAAGCCTCAACAATTCAATGAATATATATAATAGATTCAAAAAAAAAAAAAAACATATATAATTACTTGAATCACAACCACACACACAACAGAGAGTGAAAATGGAATACCTTTTGGAAATAAAGGGTATGTCGAAGTGGGTGGAGACTGCCATGAGACCTGTCCCCGAAAGATCACACATACTGAAGACTTGTCCAACAAAGGCCGGTCCACCGCCCTTCCCGTTCGTATTCAAACTCGAAATTCTCACCGTCGATGGAAACCCAGAACTGGACTCCGACGACATGCCCTTGAGTGCAGAAGACGACGGTCTCGAAGACAACGAGTCGTTCTGGGTCGAATCAAAGGAGGAAGAGGTGGGTAGAGAGATAATTTGTGGAGGCGAGACGCAGACCTTCGACTGTGGAACGGAGGAGGTGGGTGTCGGAGACTGTGCCATTCTGGGGGTGAGGAGAGAGGAGAGATTGGAAGTGGCGGATTGAATGAAACGACAGACGTTGGTCGGGTGGTGGTGCTGGTCCCCAGTTGCAGAGGCCATTTGAGATGGTTGGGTTGTTGATTGAATTTCCCTTTGTGCGCGGAATCTGAGGGAGAGGAAACAAAAGGAAGGGGAAGATAATGGAATATAAATAATTATAATAATTATATATTTTTTGTGGATAAATAGTCAGTAATTTAATTTTGAAGACGAGGAAAGAAGGAAAAAGATTAATCCACGAGTTTAAAAATAAAAGAAATAAAAACTTCATGCCTTTTACTGAGAAAAGCTTTTACATAAAAAATAATGATGTAATAAGTCTTTTTTTAATCAAAAGGTCATTTAATGATGTAATAAGTCTTTTTTAATCAAAAAGTCATTTGATGTGCTTCACGACAAAATTTTAAATTTCTTTAACGAGTAAAATAATTTTCAATTTCACAATGTTACTCTTAATTATTAGTTGTTACTTTTATCTGGTTTCATGAAAATTAATTTAAATTGAATCGTATAAAAATTATGATTAATTTCACTGGCCCATAATTTCACTGGCCCTTTAGATTTGGTCAAATATATTGTTAAAATACCTTCTAAAAATAACTATCACTTAAATCTAATTTCACTTTTTCATCACTAACGCTGTTAAATACAAAGACAAAGAGAAAATTTACCTGTTTTTTTTTGGACTACACACCTTTACATGAAAATTTGACCAAATTACCCTTTGACCGTTTAGGAGACTTTTTTAATTTTACAATTTAATAAATTGGATCAATCTACCATCATGAATAATTTATGCATTAAAAAAAAAAAGTGAAAAAAAAAAACTTTATATTGTTCACATTTTTTTTTTTTTTGTTATTTACTTTATAAATATCTTAACTTCTTAAAAATGTAAACGTCTAAAATGATTTTTTGATTCAATACATATATTTCAAATAAATTATATTTTATTATTATTTCTTTTCTTTTTCTTTTTTATTTTTAAATTAAGATGCTTAATTCTTTCATCTAAAAAAATTAAACCAATCTTTTTTCCTTAAAAATAAAAAAATATACTATCAGTATAAATTTATACATCTTAAATTATATATCAAATATTATGCATTTCCCAACATAAAAGAAAATAGGTACCAGTATAACTTTATGCATCTTAACTTTATGCATGCCTTTGTTTGTTTTTTTATTATTTTTTTTCCTTTGTTTTGTTATTATTTTTTTTCCCTTTTATGTTGGGAAATGCATAATATTTGATATATAATTTAAGATGCATAAAGTTATACTGGTACCATATTTTTTTATTTTTAAGGAAAAAAGATTAGTTTAATTTTTTTAGATGAAATAATTAAGTATCTTAATTTTAAAATAAAAAAGAAAAAAAAAGAAAAGAAGTAATAACAAAATATAATTTATTTGAAATATATGTATTGGATCAAAAAATCATTTTAGACGTCTACATTTGTAAGAAGTTGGGACATTTATAAAATATTTTTTTTTTATGCATAAATTGTTCATGAGGGTAGATTGGTCCAATTTATTAAATTGTAAAGTTAAAAAAGTCTCCTAAACGGTCAAAGGGTAATTTGGTCAATTTATGAGGTAAAGGGGTGTCTTTGTCCATTTTTGAACCTTCAAGGGGTGTCTTTATCCAAAAAAACAGGTAAATTTTATTTGAGTGTCCTTTTGCCAAACTTTAGAGGGTGTAACTATACTTTACCCATATCAACAATATAAAAGGACATAATTGCCCTCACTAATTACTCTCACCTACCCACTCCTTTCTCTCTTTGCTGGACCAATGCCCCAAATCCTCCATTGTTACATTCTACAAGCTTTCTTTCTCTCTAGTGAGTAATTAGAGAAAAATAATAATAAAGATGAGCAAATATACATATACATGGTGGTTGAAACTTTAATCGCCAACAAAAATACTAGATTAAGATAAACTTAGAAAAAAATTTATAACTTTTCAAATAGTCAATTACCTTATATTTTAAAATATGTCCCATTATATTTGACACATAGATAGCCACATAGACTAGGTAAAGTAGTAGGTTTTTATTTGTCGGGCAAAATAGCAAGACTTATATATAAATGATTTCATTTTGATAAGTACTTTATAAGGCCCCGAAAGACATACAAGTGTATTACCCTCCTCGTCGTCTTTGCACGAATAACAACCTCTAACCGCCCTCCTCCGCGACCTACACTGCCAATGGCGGTGACTGCAAGTTTCATTACTTTACCAAGCTTCCCCTTTCAACTAGTTCTTGGAATGTTTCATCGCCGTTTGTTTTGATGCCAATTCTCCATTGTTTCACCTCCGATCCAATCAATTCTTTAGGAAACAATAACATGGGAGCTCCAAAGTTCACAGCCTTTGTTGATCTCCCCATTCAGCCTTCCACTATCATAGAGTTCTCAAACTCCACCTATTATTTATTCATCATATTCACTAACACAAGAGGATTAAAATGAAGGTATGAAACTAAACACACACTCTCTCTCTTTCTCAAACTTGCTCTCTCTAAAATCATTATTTATGTCTCTACTACTAACTCTCTCTAAAGTTATCCAAAAACTATCTACCACATATATATATGCAGCAACCTATTGGGTTTTAATTCAATAATCAATGTAGAAATCAAGAATACTTTAATTAATTAAAGAGTAATTTAGATATCGTACCTGATTGATAATTAAACCACATAGTATCTTTATAATATCCATGTAATCCTCTGTGAGTTCCTGTAAAACATTAGAATGTTTTACCCCCGACTGAGAGTTGTCCTTCGATAGGGCTGAATAAGGGTTTTAAAACCTTTATATATAACAACCAACAGGGGGATGACTTCTCTACAAATAAATACACCTAAGTCTCCCTTCCTATCATGGAAACTTATATAACAATGGTTAGAATTAAATCACACAAAAAAAAAGTTGAAAAACCACAATCTAACAGTATATAATCATACTCCCAATTAGACCACCAAATTGGAAAGTACAACCCAATCCATTAAGTATCAATAATTACATTGCAATCCTATTTTATAAAATATGGTGCACAGGATCATAAAATAAATTTTATTATTTATATATAAATTTTTTTAACAATCTCCCACTTGATCCATGCATTATAAGTTTTATAAAAATGACACTATGAATTGCAACACACTTTAGAAAAGTCGAATGGCCACTCATTTTGTTTTATAAAAATATAATTATTGAAATAGATGGATTGATACATTAGAATACTCTCCTCCACACACTTCATCAACAGTGGATCATGAATGCGTAGACAAGTAATATATTAGTCTAAACAGTTCCATGATCTCAAAACCGATTCCATCTAGGATTCAAGTAAATATAATGATTTTTACTGTATTTCATGAGATGTGCAAACTGCATGTAGTTTAAACGCACACCTTGTAATACTCCTAATTCTCAAAGGATATAACTGAAATTTATTTATTTATTTTATATGCATTTTAATTGATTATTTGATTTGTGTGCATTTAAATATGTTTATATGGCTATGTGTTTAATGGTTTTATTTGCTTAATTGGTAATGGTGTTGTTTAAATTAATTTTAATTGTTTTTTTATTATTTGATTATTCGTGACTTAAATTGATGTATAATTTTTGGTAGCTTATATAATTTATGTGCGTTGTATGTAAGTTGAGGGTTTAATTTATGTATAATATGGTAGCCAACATATTAATGGGCTGGGATTATGATTAGGGTTTAGAAGGAACCTATATATATATATAAGACAGTATGGTCTGCTAGGTTACAAATCCTATTCACGACATAGTATCTTGAGAAGAAAAACAGAGGAAAACTAGGGAAGAGAGAAATAGAGAGGTTTGAGGGGAAAAATAAAGAGCTTTCAGCTATAGACTGAAGGTGTGCCATAGAGGAAGGAAGAGGTTGATGGTGGAATAGAACTGGAGTAGTAGAAAGGTTGCCGGTAGTCGTCCGTTCGTCAGAAACTCCATAGACGGCGGTGAAGATTTCAAACCGGAATCTTAAGGCAAGTTTCATTCTATCTCCTTCCTGTAAACTTGTATTATGTGCATCCTTTATAGTCTCTAGGAATTAAATTTAACTTTTAAAACTGATGGTTGATGCATGTTTTTAACGGACTGTAATTTGTTTTACAATTAATAACTGGAATTGGTTTCTTGCATGCACTGTGTTAAGTATGTTTTTTTAAAATTTTTGTAAGTTAATTCATATTGGGATGGGAAGAGTTTGTAGGATTAATTAGATGTCAATTAGACCCTAAGAAGTTTAAAAACAATTGGGACAGGAATATAGAACTTCGCCGGAAGCGAAGAAGACAAACGGAGAAAACATAAACTACTGTTGCGATCATGGTTAAAGCTTTTGATAAGTAATTCATACTAGAATTGGAGACGTTTCTAGGCTTGTTAGGACTTAAATTGAACCTTAAAATTCTTTAACAAAGGTGGGACAGAGGACTGAGACTTTGCCGGACGCGAAGAAGGCAACACAGAAGAAGTAGAGAAGGAAAAACGGAGGCTGGGGAAGTGGAGGCGGCTCCACCCTTCAATGGAGGCGGCTCTATTGAAGTGGAGCCGGCTCCACAAAATGTTGAGGCGGCTCCAATGTGGGTGGAGCCGGCTCAACCTAAAATTGGAGCCAGCTCCTCTTTTGCAAATACACTGTAAGCGTATTTCTTTGGCCTTTTTGAGATTTCAGGGCTCCAGTGTTTGTTTAAACTTAGTTGGATGGATTTAAATGTTGTAATTAAGTAGGATTATACCCAAGAATGATTAATTATACCCAAAAATGATTAATTCATGTTAGGAACTTAATCAACATGGGATTTAAAATTAAATTTACATGCGGTTTACGGCGTGGAAGAAATTAAATTGCTTGTCGTGATGTTTAAGCAAATTTAATGGAGAGGTTTTAAAATGATATATTTAATTTATTAAAGACCTAGAATTATTGGTTTAGGCTATGGAAGTGGGTGTCATGACTTTTAAATATTAATTAAGTATGCAGTAAAGGAGGGTGGAAGGGTTAATTTCTAGTGTTGTACTAGTAAATTAAACAGACTAAAATAAAAGTTATTTTTGTGATGTTATATAAATGAAATATATAACA